GAGGAATCAGCTGATTTTCAGCAGCAGTGCCTGGCTGGTCGGAAACTCAGAAATACAATTTTCTTTCTGATCAGTGATACATTATCACTACCAGCTACAACTGATGTTGTCTCTGCTTGTAATATAAATAATTAATGAACTGTTACATATTTTGAAAACTATTGTTTAGACTTTCTTATACCGTACTTATCAACTTGACTAAGGTCTTACAAAAAGTGAAAATAAGATTTGGATTAATGCAGTTTGTTTTCAGTAAATAATTCTTTAATATTGATTTTAAAGAAGTACTATTTCCACTGACAGATTTTTCCACGTGCATCAAAACATTTTTTCCGTGTTATGAGTTAAAAATTATTCCAGTTGATCTAGTACTTTTTAAATCAATGTTAAGGGATTATTAAAACAAGCTCCTATACCTTGTTGAAAAGTTCTTGTAAATTAATTTAGCCTTATTTCAAGTTTACTAAGATATTTGCGCTTGAAACAAGACAGGTACACTACAAGATTTTGTGTTTTTGCATCAATATCTTAAACTTTTAAGTTCGGATTTGATAAAACCATGTAATATAAGATATGCTTTAATTAGTCTGACAGAGATGATGGAGATGATGTTGGTCAGCGATGTAATGAAAGGACATCAGCACAGAAAAGGTTTGAAGATGAAAATGCTGTTGTCTGCCGGACTAGTACCGAGGGACAGCGCCTTGGAAGAGGTTTGTTAAAGGGTCATTATGCTGCGTCACAAAAAATATCTAACTTATCACATCTAGTCAATAATTTCATCTTAATTTGCAGAGAGATTATCAGAGAGCAGCACCTCAGAAGAACACGATTACTCGTCAGAGTCCTCAGAGAGTTTTGATGACTCGTCTTCAGACCTCAGTTCACCACATGATGACACGGAGGAGGAGGAGGAGGATGAAGAGGATGGCAGGAGTGATGACAAATGCATTGTGATATCTTCTGATGAAGAGTCGGTGGAGCAGGAGCTCGTTGTGACTCCCTCTGCTCCTCTAACACCTGGAGCTCAGCTGGAGCTGGACTTGGAGGACTGGTTAGAGTCACGCTGTAGGGATCAGATGGAGCATGATTGTACAAACAGCCTCCAAGAGAGCAGCGATGTGGACTCCATGGTGGAGCATTCAGACTCAGAGCTCATTTTATCTATAGAACAGGAAGGTAATTGTTTCAGAGTGTTTTGTATTTTTTTTCTAAAGTTGTAGTAATTTTTCCAAGATTTTGCTTTTTCTCAAACCATATTGAGTAGAAGTTTTTTTGATTGAACATAAATAAATCTGTTTCCTTCTTTGTTTTGTTAATCAGCGGAGTCAGGTCTCTGTGTGCGATCAAGACGCTGCGCATGGACTCCAGAGTCTGTGGAGGGCATGGACGACCTGAGGCCTCTCACTCCCACCGGCAGCTTGGTGGACAGTGACCCTGACAATCTGATCAAAAGCAAACCGGCGTCTCCAGCACCTCTGGATGAAGTGGAGAGGCCACCCACACCAGGCAAGGGGATCGCTGCCGAACTGATCGATTTAGACTCTGATGAAGCCACGTCTCTCTCCCTAGCAAGTAGTAATATTCTTCTGGCTTCTTCCCATTTCCCACCTGCCTCCTACCCATCATTTGAGGAAAAGCCTAAAACTCCTGGGAGGGAGGAAAGCGGTGGATGGACTTACAGCAGTATGTCAACAATTGGTCAAACGACTGCAACTTTTGAGGGAAACACAGTTTTTTCACCTCTCTGCAGCCCTCCAGATGTTCTACCACTGTCGAGCAATCCGTATGTCACTCCCCCAAAAACTCCAGGAAGGGACATTTTCTTACTTAGAAGAGACATTGTCCACAGGAGGAACACACAGATGTCTCTTCCTTTGTTACATGACAGCCTTCATCGTGTTTCTCCCCTCCCCATATCCTCTCCATCCAGTCTTTCTGAATCTTCGTTTGACTCTGCGGATGGAAACCGTGTACGTATAGGTTCAGGTGCGAGAACAAAACCCTTGCGGGGTCTGGAGAACATGCCGGGGCTTTATAAAGACGTCAAACCCTCACCGAGGCAAAATCTGTGGAGGAGGCTGAGGCGGAGAAAGAGGGCCCACCTTCGTCAAAGATTGTTAAAGGGAATAAATTGGTCGTGTCAACATCGTCGCCTGAGGAGACGTTCACAATGTGAGGAGTACAATATCCTTCACAACATCTGCAGGGACGGTTTGGATGAAGAGGATGCCAGACATCTGCAGAGTACCTATAAAAGGCTGCTGGAGCTGGATAACAGTGCTGCTGGGTGGCTCAGTGACACTTTCTGGATTCCTCATCCTCATATCCTTTTTGTTCTCTAGTGGTGGATCACAGACGCACTGTAGAGATTAGATATCTTAATTCAAATATTCAGATAAGGGAAATATGTTTAAATCCCATTTAACTATAGAAATGCTTACAAGATACATGTCATAATTTTGTAAAATATGTGCACCGCTTGGATTTTTTAAAAATTGTTTCCAGTTACAAGCACAAGTGTCAGAAGTGTCACATATTGGTAGACATTATTCTTTTTCTTTACATTTCACAATTGTTCACTAATTTGTATTATTCCCAGGAATTTCATATACAATACATTCAATATTTAGAAAGTAGAGTGAAAAATGTAAATATTCCAGGAATATAATATCTCTTGAAGCCACTGTGTACACCATCTTTGCTTCCTTTTCTTAACTCCTGTTTACTAACTAAGGTCCCGACGGAGAGCAGCGAGGAAAGCCAGTGGCAGCCGGTCCACAGGACTGGCTGCGCTCGCAGTGAAGGTTTCTACAGAATCAGCAGGAAGGACAAGCTAAAATATCTCCTAAACACCAAGCCTCCTGCTGACCTTCACTCTGCACTGGATCAGGTAGGGAGGAAAAGATGCTAAAATGCATTAGCCTCTGTATAGAACCTGTTTCATTAAGGGTCAAGGGGTTCCTTCACAGGGTTTATGCATTTCTGTACAGCAACCCACTTCACTGCGATCTGGATCTGACTTCAGGTCTGAACAGCGCCGCCTGCTGTCCTCTTTCAGCTGCTATAGCGACCTGGTTAAGTTCAACCAGCTGAAGGTAAACAATTGTTTAAGTGGTGGAAATGAGTAATTAAGGCCATGAAATCACTTGTCATTAAAGTAGTAGAAGACTGAATTAGAAATGTAAAATTGATAAGCTCCAAACATGAGGTTTTCGTTTAAGTCCTGTTTTTCTGTTGGACGGTGTCTTGATGTGAGCAGAACCAGCTGAAAAACGCTGCAATAAGAGCTAATCAGAAACCCGGCTTCCTTTTGTGTATGTTTTTAGGCTAAGTCACCCTGAGACAATTTTATCCATAACAATTCTCAAATAATCATATCACTGAATGAGTTTGCTAGAAGTGTTATATGAAAAAAAAATCTGAATATAATTAAAATTGCTGAGTGTTACAGAAAGCTGCAGAAAAAGTATCTTTCATCCTGTATTTATGGTTAATAAACATTTGTATGTGTTAATTAGCCATGCATAAAATTAGCCTTTGTTGCTTTGGTTCATCAGAAGGCGATATATCTTTTACATTTTAGCAGTAAAATGTAACCAAACCATTGGTGGCGTGTGGAGCTGTAGTCTAAATCCTTTGATATTCTGTTAGTTTCGAAAGAAGAGGATTCGTTTCAGTCGGAGTTTAATTCATGAGTGGGGCCTGTTTGCCATGGAGCCCATAGCGGCAGATGAGATGGTGATTGAATATGTGGGGCAGCTCATCAGACAGGTAAAAACAATCAGATAAATTCATCTGACAGATGAATCACATGTTTATTGACAAATCATTTCCACTGAATGTTTTTTTTTTCTGAGAAGTTCCTAAGGGACCCTCTGGTTGTTCTTGGTACTTTCCAGTGGTGTAAGTGCAACAGTGTATCATCACACTCTTTGTGTAGGTCATTGCAGACATGAGGGAGCAGAGATATGAGGAGGAAGGCATCGGAAGCAGCTATTTGTTCCGCGTCGACCAGGACGCCATCATTGATGCAACCAAATGTGGAAACTTAGCCAGGTTCATCAACCACAGCTGTAATGTGGGTACACAGTGGGCGCTAAATGCAACAAGTGATTTTTAGATACCTTTATATTCTATTGACAATTAAAATATTATTTTGTTTTGTTATGTTTACAGCCTAACTGTTATGCAAAGATCATCACAGTGGAGTCTCAGAAGAAGATTGTGATTTACTCCCGGCAGCCGATTAGCATCAATGAAGAAATTACGTATGACTACAAGTTTCCCATTGAAGATACAAAGATTCCTTGTCTTTGTGGAGCCGATAGCTGCAGAGGATCCTTGAACTGATCTCTAATTAACTCTCCTTATTATGCAAAAGTCCTCTGGGGTCCTGAAATGCTCTCTCACTGGATCATAGCTGCTGTTTACAACTGCACAGTTGCTAAAAACTGCTGGCGGGTTGGTTATGCACAGTAAAGAAAAGGTTTTTAAATTTGATGAAGAAAGGAATGAAAAAAGTATTTGGAGCATTAGTTTATCTCTGCATGCTTTGAAACAATCAGCTGAATAAACTGGACCATGTGTAAAATCTGGTGAAATACATTTTATGTATTTTGGTTATTTGACATTATTTTCATCTTTTGCTATTTGTGCCTTAAAAATGTACAAACTGATGTATTTTTGGCTCTTGTCATGCCATGTGGTTTTGTACACAAGTTAAATATTTTAAATAAAGTCAAACACGGTCGATTTTTTTTCTCTCTTAAAATGTTTTTAATGTTTTCAAAAACAAGTCACCAAAATAATTTTTGCACAAATACTTGCGATTTTATTACTCTAAACACGTGAGGACATTTAGAGCTCCATCAGGCATTGCTGAATAACAAAATCAAACAAAATTGTGGTGTCAAGCGATTGTGCTATCATCAACAACCGAGTTGATTGACACCAATTGTGTTTGATTTTACAAAAGAGAGGGGAGGCGGGGGGGCTGGTTGACCTTTGAACTTTGAACTTTAATTAATATCTTCAAAGCCAGAGCAGCACAAACAAATTTTGATGCATAAACAGAGTAGAGTTGATCGACCTTCTGGTTGACCTTCGATGACCTCTAGAAACATTTCTTAATATCTTTAAAATGATAGCAGCACGAACAAAAAAAATTTGCTGCACAAACGTAGCACAAACGTTAGACACCAATTTTGTCTGATTTGAGGAAGGTGGGGGGGCAACTTCACTCAGGTACTTGCCACAGAAAAGAGGAAGCTGTGGAGCAGGGCAGCGTTTCTCTATGTAGTACTTTGTTTCACTTGCAACATGAGTTGTTTCAGAGCGTATCACTGCAGCCTGTAGAGTGTTTATTGATGGTTTTTTATTTATACTTATATATAGCTTCTTGCCTTTATACTTGCACGTTTGTTTACAGTCTCGTACTCATATTATTTTTCAACAATAGTTTGCATAGTTTTTTATTGATAATATTTTTTCCCCTCACATTTGTTGACAAAGTTTTGTCAACAGTTCAAAAACGTTTTCACCTCTTTTTTGTAATGAAGTTGCATTAAATGGAACCAAAAGGATCCAGATCAGCTAATTTTTGGCTTTTTCTAGTGATTTCATGATGTGCACAATGACATACTTTGAAGGTACAGGGTAAAAGTCTTGAGAGAGTGCTACAATAATGCATAATACCCGATTCCCTTTTATGTGAGATGAAATAACCATTTGGCATAATTTTGGGCACATTTGGTCAAATTGTGCCAAAATGACAACATCGGCATACTATTCTTGATGGTCTGAGTCAAGCTTGTAAATATTTTGTGGAGTAAAAATCCACATTAGGAGCTTTAACTTTCTCTTTTTAAAATACACATTTGGGAGATTTGCCAAGTAGGAATTTCCATACTGCCAGAATATATAAGACCTACAAAAAGTAATTAAGCATAAGAAAGAAAAACAAAAAAAAGAAATCCTGAGAATTATCCAAGTGCCCAATGTGCATTTTATTATCAGACTGGACGGAGTAACTCAGTGGAAACTTGAGCAGTACTACTTGTTATGAATAATTGGGTTTTTTAAGTTGCAAAGACCATTAATGCTTCACATGCTCTTTGTGTCTCCATTTGGTGTCAGGATGGTCAGATTTCCCCGAGCATGCTGGTCTGCCTCAATGGCTTCAAAAAGAGACTTGAAATTTCCTGCACCAAAGCCCTGGAGAGGAAAATGAACAGTTTATAATTGTTTTCTGTGCTCAGTAGGCTAAGTAATGCGTTTCCAGGACTGTCCATCACCTGGTGATTGTGTCGCTGAATGACCTCCAGGAAAACCGTGGGACGGTCCTGAACTGGCTTGGTGAAGATCTGAAGTAAGTAACCTTTGTCATCATAGTCCACCAAGATTTTCAGTTCCTGGAAATAAAAAGGATTAGAAAGAACAGTTTGTCTGGTTAGCATGACTAAACATAGACACGAGTCACCCAGTTGTCCTCAGGTGTAGGTCTGACCTGCAGGACGTCCAGGTTCTCCACGATTTTGACCTTTGAATGTTTCAGATTCTCCCTCAGCTGATCGTAGTAAGTGTCTGGCACTGTCATAAACTCCGTGCCTCGCTCCTTCAGGTTGCGAATCTATCAGTAAATTGGATTTACTAGTTAGTCTTCCTGGCTAATATAGATTTCACACAACTCAGAGCTGTAGAGTCTTACCGATGTGACGATGTCTGACGTGTTCATGGCGATATGCTGCACTCCTGGACCGCCGTAGTACTCCACGTATTCCTGGAAGGAAAGAACTTTAAATCCACACATTTGTATTTGTTTGCTTTTAATAAGAGGCGACTTCAGTACACATGCCTGGATCTGAGACTTTCTCTTCCCCTTGGCAGGCTCGTTGATCGGCATCTTCACCGTCTCCTCGTAGTTCGCCACTACGATGGAGCGCAGGGCGCTGAATTCAGTCTGGAGCTGTTTGTCGTCCACCGACCAGAAGCGGTGAAAGAGGAGGTTCCTCTGATACCTGTTGGACCAGGAACCAACCAAAAACTGAGATCCTTAGAAATGCAAATCCAAACTTCATACAAAGTGCACAACATAACAAAACGTCAGGCACAGTTCTCTTTTACCTCCTCTGTTAAATGATTTCAAATATGCAGCTTCTGTTTTCCTCTGGAATATGCATAGCAAAACAAAGGCTTGTAAAACTTGAACGAACCAATGAGGTTGCTCATTTAGAGAACTGCCTCATTTCAGCCCTTTTCTGAATAATAGGGGTAAAAACCAGTTCCATATGTGAAGAACCACTGAAGGCCCTCTTAAAACTGCAGTCATCCAGACGCCTGGTTCGTGCCAGAAAAGGAGAGTTGCATAATCTCTCCCCATAAGCCCCTTCCCCTATTGTGGATTTCTGCAGACCGCCACCTCGTCCAGTTATGACAAATTAAGATGCGACCAGTCGCTACCATTCTACAATTGGAACCATCTCATCATCTGATTGGTTTCCCACAACGTGATCGATGAAGTCCAGTTTTCCACTCGGTCTGCAAAGCAACAGAAGGAAAACTCAATCTTTGGCTCTGATTCAGGGATGTGTGTGTTATGTTTGAAAGCAGGATGCCTCCTCACAGTTTGGGTAGTAAAGGGTCTTTGAACAGAGGGGGATGGAAGCCAGGCAGGAACAATCCCTTGTATCCTTTCCTCTCCACAAACGTATGGGTGGTATCTCCATACTGCAGCGCAAAAATCAAAAGATGATTTATGTCTTACAGGAACGATGCCTAAAATGCTGGGCTTGAATTTTAAAAAAATGCTCAACCTACCGTCTGAAGCACAGCCAGCCGGATTTTCCCGTTCTTGTCCTCCAGAGTGTGGGGCTCTTTGATGATAATTGCCCCTCGCTCACTGGCTTTCTGTAAAACAAAAAACAACAACAACACAAACTTTTATGTTTACCTTGAAAGAGATTTTCTGGGTAGCAAAACCTGCTGCTTTACCTGAACCAGGAAGTCACAGTCCTCCACTGTGAATGCAATGTCTTTCACTCCGTCCCCATGTTTCACCAGATGATCCCCCATCTCTGGAGAAAACAACGCTTTTATTAGCCACATAGGATCAGCCTTTGTATTCAGGGTTTCAACACATTCTTGAAAAGCCAAGTTTTGATGGTGTGAGTAAACATGGAAAAATTAAAACTGGATAAAATGCAAACCAGATAACTAAAACTTTTTTTTAAATTATTATTATTTAAAGCCAAAATCTTATTATTTGCAAACCACGCTATAACAAGTCCACCTTTAGTTAAAAAGACCAGGCAGTATAGAGTTAAAAATAAATCTGCTCTACAGCGAATTAAAAATCAGAGGTCAGTTTTAAGATTCCTGTTTCATAATTTCTGGAACGTAAAGCCCAGTTATTATTTGATTAATATTTTTTACTCAAATGTCCAAGATGTTTTAAAAACTGCAGCAAAAAAAAAAAAAAAAACAGTAGAAATTTGAGCCAAGAAAAGCACTGAGTTTTGAATTGAATAAGAAATATTTAATGATTTTAACCATCTTTAGTTTTCTCTCTCAAGAACATCTTGAAACGTCATTTGATTTTCAGCAACACTTCAAAAGGACGATCCTGGACTTAAAACCTGTCACCATTCTTGATCAGTGCTTTACCTTTGTTACCAGGATTCAGAGCAGAGGAGAAGACATAAATGATCTGTGAAACAGAGGAAACAGAAACCAGATAAAAGCAATTCCTTAATCTGACTTCACCTTCATCTGTCCTGTGCAGATCTACAAAACAGAATCTGCTAAAGGCCTCCTGACAAAGCTGCTGCTGGGTTTTGGAATCCCAACCAGTGTTTTTAGGACAGATTTGTGAGGGGATCTAAATAAATTCATCAATTGTGGTGACATCATCAATGCTCCAGCAATTATCCATCAAATACTTATTTGATGGATATTTATATGCTGTGATGCTCCCCCAGGTTCTCCTCACCTTCCCCTGTTTCACTGCGTGGGACGCCACATCGCGGCTGCCCGTCTCCAGGCCTCGGTAAGCCAGCGGCTCAAATCCCAGCTTGTTGCAGTAATACGATGCTGCCTGTTGACAAAAATGATTATTGCATCCCTTTATGATTGGGTACCTCAAATTTGGCTCGATTGCAAAGCAAGCTGAGTTTGAATTTGTGTGACACAGCTCCATCTACTGGTGATCGTTTCCCTTGCAGTTTGGGGGAAATCGGCATGTGGGGGTCCAGTAATAATAATAAAAAAAAGCCATATGTATGCAATATGTATGTGTGACAGCAATATGTATGCAACACAAATGTGGGGATTTATGAGATAAATTACCTGCTTTGCATTTCCGACCCAGAATGTTAGATGATCGAAGCAGATGAACTTGCCCTGCTCATGCTGAAGACAGAAGAAAATTAGGAAAAAAGGGGCTTTCTAATGGAGAACTTCTTTGTAACCCTAAATTACCCTAAATTGTTGCCCAAGTCCATTAGAAACACATCATAAAATATAAATTGCATTAAAATCTGGTTTTATCTTTGTTTGTCCGGTGACACATAAATAATAATTTAAACAATCTATATTCAGTACAACACAAATAAGCTGGTTCATTACCTTTTCGCCTTTGTCTGTGTATGTTGTCTGTTGCAAAAAGCAGAAAATACTGTTAATTCTTTAAAGACAAATGGCTAGAGCAAGAATAAACAGACAAATATCACATACATTTCCTTGTTTGTGATGGTTCACAGTAAATGAGACCCATAAAGTTTGATAAATCATAAACTTACCATCTTGCCTGCGTTGATTTGACCCGGCTGCCAGACTGAGACGCGCAGCAGATGCCTGAGTTTAAAAGGCGAGCAAGACGTTTTTGAACACACTCCCACCAATAAGGAGCTGGTATTGGTGGAGGACAGAGGACTACGTTTGCTGTTATACAATGATTACTTGGACAATATTTGAGTAGACCGGTTGGACTTCCCAGTCTCTTCATTCTCTACAAGAGCAGTAATACCAACTTTGACGCTTATAGTAAATATCACATCAAGTTTAATTGATATCAAGTTTAATATCAATCTAATGTCTATATCTGGGTTTTTTTTTCATCCAGCAATCAATAGTGTCTCTTTGCCTTAAAAAGCAGCATATCAGGTGATGCTTTAATAAATGACTATCTAATTTAATATGCTCAGAGATACAGTCATTGTCCACAGGTTTAGGATTACAGCGTGATTTTTCTAGAATAATTTGAGGCCCATGTGTTAGTGTTTAGTGGCAAGAGGAGGCTCACGCATCCTGGGCTCCCATTGGCTCTCCGGGGGTGAGGCTGAGCGAGTCTTCATGTGCCTTGAAATGCTCCCCATTCCCGTGAAATCCATCGTCCGGAAAAAATACACTGGTGTCGGTAAACTAATCACAAAAGCACGAATGCTGTCAGAGTCCACTGTGAGCTGTCCGCATGAAACTGAGGTTGATTTGACTTAAACTGTCAATTCACGTGCAGTTAAGAAGCATATTTTTCTATGTGGATGCTGCATTTTGAAGTCATAGCCTACTTACATACCTGCAGTGTCACTGTTTGGGTCACATGAAGTTAAATCTGATTCTATGGTTTTAACAAACTAATGGAGGACAAACAAATTTCTGTTGATTAGCAGCCAGTTCTCAGGACAGGATAACTGCATTTTAATACATGCAAGCAAACTCAGATGAAAATGAAGTAAAACCTCTCTTAAAAATTTTATTAAATAAAAATATATATTCTTTGGATATATATATACTGAGATGTCTGATGTTGTTCCTGGGATCTGTTGTAGCCACTGCTCCAGTTTGGGGGTTACTGCCCCGAGGGCCCCGATGACCACAGGCACCACTGTGGTCTTCACCTTCCAGGCCTCTCCAGTCTTCCCTGAGGCCCTGGTATTTCTCCAGTTTCTCGTGCTCCTTTTTCCTGATGTTGCAATCACTTGGTATTGCTACATCAACCACAACGGCTTTCCTCTGATGTTTATCCACTACGACAATGTCTGGTTGGTTCGCCATTACCATTTTGTCTGTCTGGATCTGGAAGTCCCACAGGATCTTAGCTCACAGCAGATTTGGTTCTTTTGTGCTCCAGCAGCAGCTTATTAATCATTTCTAAGAAGTCGAGGTTTTCCCCCTCAAGTGTTTCTGTCCCTGAAGGAGTTTGTTATTGATGCTGTTGCCAGGCACCTCACTGTTGTCATTAGAGACAGGTACACGCATCCAGATACAAGAACGCAGCCTTCTAGATAAAATAATTGCATGCCTTATGCAATTTCAGCTGTGGGATCATTTCATATGAACGTTTGGAAAGTGCATCAAACATTAACAGGTTTCTTTAAAAGAGGGTTTTTTCTGATCTTTAAGGATTGCTTCTGTTTTTTAATGAAAAAAAAAGCAGTTAATTTGGTTGCAATGTTGGTCTGAAATGCGTTATATTTCCCTCTGGGCCATAATCCCTGAGGTTTTCAGACTCTCTGAGGACATGCACCCAAGTCTGTTATGTTCGTCCCATACTTGCATTTCTCATCTCGTCGCTGAATCTCACCAAAAGCTGACTAGAAGTGAAAATGAGCGACGCAGCGTCAGAGACGGTTCCAGAAACGGGTCCTGCAGAGGTTGGACAACAGGACGACGCCGCCAGGGAAGAGGAGCACCTCTCCTCCGACAATCTGCAGGAGGAAGGTGCGCAAGGGAGCGGCGTAACGGAAAAAGAGGCACAGGCGAAGATGATGTCTGTTTTCCAGCAGGTGCGTAACCAGGTCAGATCGCAGGGGGGGTCCAAAGCCCCAAAGTGCAGCATGCTGGAGCTGGTGTCGAAAATCAAAGGCATAGAAACGGCGCCTGAGCAGACGAACAGCCAGTCTGGTGGCAATGGTGTCAACGCAGAGGAAGAAAAAGCAGCTGAAGCTGTAAAAATTGACTGCAAAGAGGAAATAGACTTAAGGTTGGAGATGTTGAGTAAAATGTTTGAGGAAAAGCTGGAAGCTAGTAAGAAGCTGCTAAGAGGTGAGTTCAAAGGTCAGATATCTGCAGTGCGTCATGAGATGCAGGCCTACACGGATCAGACCCTGAAAGACCTGGAGTGTAAGATGACAAGCGGTCCACCTGGCCGTCTCCAGCCACACGCTCCAAACCGCTGCAAGAGGGCGCTGACGCCGGGACAAAACGGAGGGCTTCTGCAGCGCCATCGCTGGCTTCCAGGCGAGGAAAGGTGCTGACCAGGACCCAGACCACCACCCTCATTCCCAAGTCGTCCGCTCCCATCATCAGTGGCTCAAAAAGCTCCCCAAAGGGTCAAAGTTCACTGGTGAGAGGTCACGTGCTGTCGCTGTCAGGGAACAAGTGCAACCTGGGCCGCAGTCCTCTGCCCCCGGCTCAGCCGCTCCTGCATCAACGCAGGAAGTCTGTGCAGGTGAAATGTAAGACAGGAAACTGATCCTACACCTCAAGAGAGACGAGGGGAGACGGTCACAAATCAACGCTGGAACCCTTATATTTGAATTATGTTGATTAGTTTCATGTTTTTGGTATTGAAACTTTGTAACCGAGAATATGTTTATAGTAAATTGTCTTGGAAAAATGTAAGACATTTCCTGTTTGTTTTATTTCATCCAATGTACTTTTATAGAACAATTTATCTCTGTGAAAAAATGAGAGAACGTACTGTAACTTAATGCATTCCCCCCCCCCCGAACAGATCAGCAGTCCTTCACACAATACACAACTTCAGATATTTGTGGAATACAGGAAACTGTTCTCATATGTTTAGCACAACCAGTTTTGGTCAGAAAATCCTGCAGCTCTGATCAGTTTCTGTCCAGTTTTAATAATGTCTCTCCTGTTTCATAATTTTTCTTAATAAAAATCTTTACTGTGCCACACTGTATTCATTAATTTGATGGAAAGGTTTTGTTTGGAATCAATGTTTATCATCGGGTTGTGTAACTCCGCCACATCTGAAAGTATTATTTTAATTCAGGGGATAACGTCCCATCGATCGATTACGTGGATTTAACTTTAACAAAGAATAACATTGGTTTAATCTTGTTCCTCTATCGACAAGTTTTAAGACATTTCTCTTGAAATGTCTTAAAAGGAAATAATTTGATTGACTCAGTGTGTCAGCAGATACCAGCCTGCTTCAGTAACATGCGGATTCCTGTAATCATTAAATGATCCCTTCACAAAGAAAAACATGGTCATTTTAGCAATCAATTCTGTTGTGGTAAATACATGATTTGACCAGCAGATGGCAGTAGTAATTATTTTACTACTGCCAGAATTATCTTTCCACTGTGGCACAATTGGAGATCAGTGTTCCCATCCTAACAGATGATCATATTAATTGTATTTATTGATTATATAATAATGAAATGTCACAAAATGACAGTTTGATCAGCACATCGTGTGACTTAGAGTCACTGAAATGACTCCAAAGAGCAACGTTGCCCTTTTCCTGTCTTTGTCACATTGCAGCCTAAAAGCTCACTTGAGTTTTTGGCTTTATATGTGATAGATTGACACAAAACACTCGAAGTGTGAGAGGACGGAGCAAACTTCTGGTTGTCAGATGAGACCAAAACGTAGCTTTTTGGGGGGTTTCTGCAAAACACCACATGTGCAGGGAAACTTTACATCACCCCAACTTTACATCATCAAACATAGAGAAGACAGTGAAACACAGTGGTGGCCTCATCATATTCACAGACCTCATCCTGTCCTTTCCAACTCACAGGCAAAGATGTCGATCTCCTGAAATGTCTTCATTTGATGGACATCCCAAACAACCTTGAGGTTGGAGTTGATGGTTCTGCAAAGCATTGCCTGTTCTGGGAAAACATACGTTTTATTTTATCCACAGGTACGCAACTACTGCTTCTTGTTGGTCCCAATGTAACACTTTTGTGGTTGTAAAATGTGAAACAATTTGAAGGGTGTGTGAATACTTTCCCGAAGGCAAGAGGATCAGCAGAAAGATGATAGATCTCTTCAACCCTGTGACAATTTTTTATTTTTTCCTTCTTTTTGGCCTTTTTCTCCCCCCCCCCTATTCTTTCATAGAGAAATGTTTTTTTGTTTTCAAATGGGCAAAATGTGTAATGTAAACCAGAGTATAAGACTGGTGTAAAGTCAGAGAGGAGGGTGTGCCTTTTTTTCTTTCTTTCTTTTTTTCTTTGTTTTGTTTTCAGCGTGTTGCTGCTCCCTAGCGGCCCAAGAGATAACAGCAGCTCAGAAGAAACTGCTTTCTGGATAAATGTAAATACCATGAAGTGAAAACAACCTGGCAGTCCTTACTCAACATAGTCATGACGAAAGCCGAATGACAAGCAAAAAACAAGGGCAATACTTTTGTTCATCTGTCTCTGTGCGTTTTTGTGGAGGTGTAAACTTGTTTTTGTTGTGAACTGAACACCTGAGCGCTTCCAGCAGCTGAACTGGCACTGGGACCAGAACCAGTGACAGGAGATGCATTTAGCCTCAGGAGCCGAGGGCCTCAAAGCCGGCCTCTCACAATGGACGGGATAGAGAAGGCTGTGAAGAGGACCTTTGTGTCTGAGGAACGTCGAGGCCTCCCGAACCACCGTATCCGGAATAGGGGGCTGGTGAGGGCTCGGGCTGCACATTCAGGTCTGGCCAAGCCAAGCCGTTCACGGAAGCAGCGTCTCCCGCCTAACGATGTCCAGCAGCAGCAGCAGCAGGAATCATTAGTATGGAGCAGGCAGGGAGAGACTGGTCTCTCCTGGAAATATTCACTGGTGAATTAAGTCTAATCTCAATGGATGGATGGATGGATCAGAAGATAACGGCATCAGCACTAAACC